CCCCCCCCCCCTTCCGCCTGGAGACCGAGCGAGGCCGCGCCGTCGAGATTGGACACGATCAGCCGCGCGTGCACCGGCTTGAGGCCGACGCCAACCAGCTCGTTGAGAGTGGCGCGGCTCAGCGCGTCGACCGACGAGTAGCCTGCGCCGTCGAGGGATCCCTGGCACGCCTCGAGCCCGACGGAGCGGAGGAAGGCCGCGACCTCGCCCCCGGCCGGGTCGGAGCTCACCTGCCGAGGCACACCGCCGAGGCTTGCCGACCGAGGTGGGGAGTGTGCACAAGGCGCAAGTGCGAGGTGGCCGCGTCGTTGGGGTGCGTGTTGCTGCGGTGCGGGAGACGTGTGTGTTGGGCAGGGGCGGCGCTGCGAGAGCGCGGGCGGCCGCGGACGGAGGCGATGCGGACGGAGGCTCACCGAGAGGGGCGCCGTCGACAGCCCCGCGTTGGAGAGCTCGCTGAGCATCAGCTTGGCGTGGCCGGGCCGGACGCCAGAGTCGACCAGCTAAGGCGCGGCGGCGAGAGGGGTCGGTGAACGGAGAGGCGGTGCCGTCGGCCGCACGTGCGGGCCAAGGGCCCGTGCAGTGGCCAGAAACGTGCGACACGTGCGTAGCGCGTGGGACAGGAACTGGCTGTGTGTGGGACGGCGCCTCCTCGTACGTCGCGCCGCGCAGCGCCTCCATTGAGGTGTAGAAGCCGTTGTGCACCACGGCCTGCACGCACTGCTCGAGCCCGAGCTTGGTGAGAAATGCCGTCACCTCTCCCACGCCATCCATTGCTCTGTTGCTCGACAGCAACAAGCGCCGGCGCTGAAAGATGGGCTGACAAAAGAATTTTGTGCCGCGTGTCGCTCCGCGAGGGCGCGCGCCAACCATGATTCGAACCGGGGCCAAAAGGCGCCTGGAGCGAACCGCGGTCCGGTCGCGCCACCGCGGCTGCGGGGTTGATAGCGCAGGCCGGCTGCGGCTCCTCATGTACCTCCGCTTTTGGGTGGGCGCAGGCCGCACCTCTAGTGAGGCCCGCATAGTATGTGGGAGAGCTCATGCCGCCGCCCCTTGTGCGCGCGACGTATAGCTAGGTGAGCGGGGGCAAGTACAACATCGTACTCTGCAGTGGATGAAGCTCTCTAAGAAGGCCATACTGATAGCCGCGAGAGAGAGCAGAGTACGCGGTTCTTTCACAATCACATATGCCCGGGGCGCGCGGGGCGGGGGGCCGGGGCCTCCGGGATTCGGCACCTCGAGCTTCGTCATGCAGAGAGTGGTTCTGCAGCTCGGAATTGCAGTTGGCGACGGTATATCATTTCCCACTATGCCACGTCGCCCATCCCGGGATAGCGGCGCGGTGCTCAGGCGCGGCTAGAGTAAAGGCTAAAGCCGTAAGGGCTAAGGCCGTACCACCTTCGTAAGGCGTTCTCGCACGTTCGACTAGTGGTGCGCCCGATCCCCCCACAATTTGCGCATGCGGTCCAATCACAACAAGCGAGAGGCTTAATGGTTAAACTGCCTCTGCGGCACGGCCTCTGCTGGTGCGCTGCACTCCAGCACCACATGCAAGATGCATCGGCCATCGCGAGCTCTGATGTGCTATGAGTCTGGACGGACTGGAGAGCGCGGAGTCCGAGATGTGGAGGAAGGTAGGAGAACCACACCACTGGAAAAAGATAAAGCACGCCGGGAAGCTTACTGTGCCGTATCAAAGTCTGTGCAAGTGTGAACAGCAGCTCCTGACCACGGCGCCGCAGGCGCCTGTTGATAGGTCCAGGTGATAGCCCTGTATAGGCAATGCATACGCCTAGTCGGGCCTCAGATCGCCCGACCGCGTCCCGGTGCTCTGTGGTCGGATTTGTGACGCCGCCGCACCGCGCCGCGGCCGGGGGCCCTCCGGAGGCCGAGGATGGCCGTGACGGACCGGGACGAGCTCTGGGAGGTTCAATGTCAGTGTATATATTGTAGAGACTAACCATGTGCACAATATCTTTCAGTCTAGCTAAGCCTGGGAAGGCAATGCTGGGGCCGTAAAGCAGCTTGATGGTGCTTCGCCGGCGTGCGTCCCGGAGCGGTGCCAGACGGGCGGTCCGTGGGAGGAAAATGGAGGACAACGCCGACGGCGCTCTGATTCGACTTTTTACTTCAAACAAAGACAGTCGCACGCGCCGCAGCGCGGCGCGTGCGACAGCGCGGCGCGTGCGACTGTCAGGAGCGGATCCGTCAGTTAGTCGTGTTCACGCCGCGATCGTGTCCTCCGCAACCTGCACAGACTTTAGGCCGCAACAGTACATCCTTTGAACGCCCCCAAAAGAGCGGCCGCACACTGCTCGGTACCCCCCTTGCACACCTAAGCCCATGGCCGACCCCCCCCCCAGCAGGAGCGCTCTGCTGCTGGGGGGGGCGGGACCCCCCCCCAGCAGCAGCAGCGCTCTGCTGCTGGGGGGGTCGGGACCCCCCCCCCAGCAGCAGCGCTCTGCTGCTGGGGGGGGGTGCTGGCATCTCTGTACAGACAGCAGCTGTAAGTAGCATGCGTTCGAGTTGCGAGAATTTATGGTCGGCATCAAAATTGGTCTCACCGGCGGGGCCTCCTACTGCCAACCGGGCTGTGCGGGGCAGTCCAGGGCGAGCCGCATGGCTTGCACCACGTCGCTGCCCGCCATTGCGTCGCGGCGGACCTGACAGTTTTGCCGGGCGACGGGCGCGCGCGCGCGTTTTCGAAAAAAGAAAAGGCAGCCCCTTGCTGACAGCTCAGTCGATCGATTTGCGACGAGCGAGCGATCCGAGGATCGAGCGGGTGGCCGATAGGCTAGGGAGATCAGCGCTGATCGATCAACGTCAGCGAGACGCCCGAGTGAGTGGCTCACTATACTCTACCCTAGAGTATGACCTTGAGCTATGCGTGTGGTAGTAACAAGATAGACTCAGATGGTCACAGGTCTTTAGTAAAACGCCAGCACTCGACAGCACGAAGGTGTATTGGGCTCGAAGGCGCGGTGAACACAACCGCCTCGAGCGTATACCGCTCAAACACGAGCCGAGGGGGCGGGAGGGGGGGTGGCGGGAGGCGGGAGCTGGGTCCAGTGCGCTCTGCTGCTGGGGGGTCGGGACCCCCCCCCCAGCAGCAGCGCTCTGCTGCTGGGGGGGTCAGACCCCCCCCCCTAGCAGCAGGGATGGGCTTAGAAGTGCAGGGGGGGTACCGAGCAGTGTGCGGCCGCTCAAAGCCAAACCGACAAGCCTCCAGCCCCCCCCCCCCCCCTTCCCCCCGCCGTGCACAACCTCGTTGGACGCGCTGATCGCTCCGCGCCCAATCTCGCGCCTCGGCTCTCGCCACAGACAGTGTCCCAATCACACACAGACGCCGTTGAGCACAGTGCCGGAGCAATGCTTGGCGGCCATCTTGGTCAAGTCGGGCGCAGCCACCGCGCCGACAAAGTCGACGGTGTCGAGGCCCTTGGCGCGATCCCAGGTGACGCCCCGCAGTTCGGCATCCTTGAAGGAGGCGCCTATAATTGTACACACAGCATCTTGATTTGTGTTACACGTTGTTAATCTTCTACCGCGGCAGCTCGAAGGTGGAGGACCCGTGAGGTCGGCCTCGAAGAAGCTGGCGCCCCTCAGGTCGCTGTGCTCGAATTTGACGCCCCGAATGTTGCCGCCGGAGAAGTCGACGCCTCTAAAGTTGCCGTTGGACGCGTCGGCGTTCTTTAGCGTCGCCTGCAGACGAGTTCTCGCCGAGCGGGCAGGCCGGTCAACTGGTGGCGGTGGTAGGAGGGCAAACCCAATGTCAGCAGCCCCGTGCGCACTACCCACAAGAGCACTCACAGGACTGAGAGAGGCCGACTCTAAGAGCGGAGAGAGTGCCATTTCCGCGCCGCGCTCAGGCGGCAAGGCGCGTCGCGCCTTGCTCATCACGCAGCCTTTGAAGTTCGCCTCGACGAGCAACGCGCCGGTCAGCGTCGCCTCGGTGAAGGCGCTGTCGCTAAAGTCGGCGCCCTTGCACTGCGCTCCCGTGAAGTCGGCGCGCGCGAAGCGGCCTCCAGACGCCTTTGCCCCCTCGAAGAAGGCGTTTGTGAAGACGGTGCCCTCGGCGAGAAGATAGCGCACCGTCGCGAAGGAGAAGACCGCGCGGCCAAGGTCGGCGCCCTATAGGAGGACACGTCTTTGACTCGCGAGCAGCGACGACGGAGCGAGAGACGATGAGAGCGCACCGTCATGTCGATGTTGTCCATCGTCTTGAGCTCGAAGTAGCAGGACGCGAAGCTGCCCTGGATCATGTTTTGCGATAGCGCGCACCCTCCAGCCGACGCAGACGGCGATGCCGCCGGCGATGCCGCCGGCGGCGCTACAATCTCGATGCGGCCCCTCCACACGCGACGCGTCTCCGCGGTGTCCTTGACGAAGCAAGATGCACCGCCGAGGGGAATTGCGCCAGTTGGCTGCGATAGCATCTTTCGGCAGCGATGCCCTCGGCTGTGGTCCGACTCCTGCACGCCAAAGCACGCAGGCTCCGCGGCGCACTCGAACTGGCACACAGTCGGGTCCATGTGCCAGCTGTCGACGTACGAGCCGGCGTTGCCGCCGTGAGCAATGCAGCCACCAGCCGCTGACAGCCAGGAAACGGAAAGCCGCCGCGCGGCTGGGCGGGCGACAGTAGGCGGCTCCGTGGGCACAGGCTGCGCCTGGGAACCGCCGCCGGCGATTCCCGAGAGGAGCAGGATTAGCGACGACAGGATCCGCATGCAACACTTGCTCTGTGTGTGGTGGTTTCACGGAGTGCCGTCCTCCCAACCCTCGGCTGCGTCTCGCAGCCTGGCTCAGGCGGATTCGGTGAGGTGCACGGCGCGCATTGTGGCGTCTGACACGCTCAAAAGAGACGGGTACGCGAAGCTCCGGGCACGACTGACTCGGGACCGGGCACCGTCTCGGTACACAAAATGCGGGCCGACCTTCACAGCTCACAGCTCAGACTCCACAGGAATGCGAAACGAGCGAAAATGCCTTAAATCCACATCTGTAGAATTGTCCCGCTCACCCCGTCGGTGTGGCGCACCGGGCCCTCGCGGGTTGGCCGCCTGTGTAGCCCGTCTCGCTGCGGCGCGCCGCCACATAGTGTGGCGCCGGATAGTGGAAGCATGCCGGAGGCCTTCGCCTGCCGCCCGGTGCGTCCGTCGGGATGCCGCTGATGGAGTCCCTGCCGCTGGCGGAGGTTCTGGTCTGCTGCCCACGCGGGACGGCAGCTCGTGGCAGGCACCTGCGCGAGCACTCTGGCCGTCGGTGGGGGCACAGGGCGCGCCGGCGCACGGCGCAATGGGCGCCGGGGAATACATTCTTGCCAGCGGCCGCGGGGCGGGCGCAGCAACGGCGACTCCTCGATCGAGAGGGGCAAGTGGCGGGAGCGCCACCTACGGCCACGAGGTCTCTCCGCCTCGGGGCCCATCCCTATCCCATCACGCCGACGGTATGCCCTCCACTTCTCCACCTGGCGGGGGGGTGAGGCACGCCGGGGCCGTCCCGGAGGAGCCTCTCCGCCACCTCCCTGCGGCTCTCCTCCTCTGCCGCCGCCCTCGCCATCTCCGCCGCCTCCCTCCTCATGTCCCCCTCCCGCTCCAGCCTCGCCGAGCTTTCCGCTCCTGCAGCAAGCCGGGGGGCTGTTGAGAGCGGGAGACCTTGCAGGGATTGGGGGGAGGGCGAGGAAGGACGGGGAGTGGGGTTTGAAGGAGTGGAGGTGGTGGACGGGGATTTGAATTTTGATTCGAGCGCAGAGTGCCTCTCCTCGCCTCCTCCTCGGCCGCCAACTCGGCCACGACCCGCTGAGCCATCTCCTCCGCCTCCCGACGCACCGCCTCCGCCGCCGCCCTCTTAGCCTCCTCTTCCGCCTGCGTCCGGGACACGGCCCGTTGGCGGCGAGAGAGGCGTGCGATAGAAGCAGCGGTGCCGGGTGGCCGCGCGGTGAGCACCCGTCGACTCGACAGCTCCGCCTCCCTCAACGTCTGCTCCTCCCACTCGATCGATCTCCTCGCGCGTGTCTCCTCCGCCTTTCGCGCCTTATGGAGGGGTCGCTTTCGGTTGAAAGCGCCGCGTGCCGATTATGTGGCGTCGTGGCCGGGCCTGGTGCGTCGTGAAGAGCAGCTCTTGACCGTGTCTTCCCTCTCCCTCGCGGGCTCTCCCGGCCGCGCCTGCAGGGCCTCGGCTTCGCTCCTTACCAGTGCCTCCGCCCCTCGCCTCACCAACATCTCCTGCGCCTCTGCCCTTGCCCGCTCCTCGGCTCCCCTCCTCCTCCGCTCCTCTGCCTCTCGCCTCGCCTCCTGTTCTGCTTGCCGCCTCGCCTCCTCTGCCGCCACCAGCCTCGCCTCCTCGTCCTCCCAGCCCTCCTCCGATTCTTCCTCCTCCGCGCGCACGCTAGGTGCGGGCGATGTGATTGCGTTCCGCGAGGCAATGTCGTACACGTTTGCCCTATCAAGCGGTCGGCCCTCGCCGGCGTTGGCAAAGCTGTGCGCACGCTTCGGGAAGCCGCAGCGGCACAGGCCAAAGGAGACGGCACTCACGTCGATGCGGTAGTCAGAGCACGCCATCGTGGCAGGGAGTGCCTCACCTGAGATGGCGAGACCCGGCCAAAGGGACGCGCGTAAGTTTCGAAATCGCTTTTGACGTACGTACTTTTAGCTGTTGAAGGTATGTTGTTGGCTTTTAGCTGTACGTACTGGGAGAAAAGGATGAGACTTTGCTCCTACGTCCGTGCCAGAAAGAAACCACCGGCTAGCTACAACTTAGAAACCCTTCGAGTCGATACTCATCGCAAACCCCGTCAGCAGTTCACGTAAACGCAACAAACAACAAACTAAAAATCTCTGTAAACGCACAACCCCGGGTCAGCAGTTCACCCTCGGGTATGTTCGTAAGAACCGCATACACTGAAATTCTTGGCCTATTCTGGTTCAACTGGGTTGTTGCTGTCCTTATCGGTCCGAGAGAGAGATTTTTTCTCTCTCTCGGTCCGTGCCAAAAGAAAGAAAGATTGCACGCCGATTCTCGTTTTCTGTACCGGAGTTTTTAATTCTTTTTCCAAGTCCTGGGTGCGCTGGCAGCGCGGAGCGAGGGCAACTCTTCGCATCCATGCAGCGAGCTCCTC